CCGCCCCCGCCTTTGCGAATCGGTCCTTTGTGCGCCCCCTCCGGCCCCAACCGCTGGCGCCACTGCGCCGACGAGCAGTGGATGCGGGAGGAGGGGGTGAGATGGCCCCAGTTTGTCTTCGTTGGTGGTCGTAGATGTTATATTGGCCTCAAATGAGGTATATTAAGCGGAAATTCTTTAGGATTTTTTTATTAATGATCCAGTATGATTGTAGAAAAGTGCAGAAAAGATAAGATAACTGCTTATTTTGAAATAGTGTTGTGTACTGCATAAGGGGCGCATTTCTCTGAATGTGAGTAGATACATTTTTAAATATAACATTTTGGTCAGTTACGAGTTCTGAAGTACGGGAGATACCAGAAAATCTTCAAGTTTGATGAAAGTTTTTTTCTGACTGTATGATAAGGTAGGAATTGAAGTATTTTCGTTCATTTCGTGTCTTTGAAAAGGGGTCTCTGACAAGAGTATTTGTGACCTGATGATAATATTTACTTATTAAAGTCACCAACCTTCCTATAATTTCTCGGGGCTTGTTTCAGAATGTTAACATTTCAATGTACATATAGATTGGTGTAGCATTCAGAATAATTTTAAAGGATTTATTTATAGTACTACGCAAGTATTTATTTATTTCCTCAAAGGACCTTTTACTGAATCACTTTACGGCAGAATTTTGTGACGTTTCGGGTATCGGTTGTCTTAACCAAAATAGAATCTATAGAGAATAAAATAACTTATTTTCTTCTCTCTCTCTCTCTCTCTCTCTCTCTCTCTCTCTCTCTCTCTCTCTCTCTCTCTTTCTCTCTCTCTCTCTCTCTCTCTCTCTCACACACACACACACACACACACATTTAAAGACAATATATTTTCTTCAATTTGAATATCCCGTACTTCCCACCCTTGGCGCGTAGTTCGACTAAATATCGCGAGATAGAATGAGTAGTACGATCATTAGAAGAAATTTAGATAGGCACGAGTATAGATTGAAAGTTTATGAGAAAGATATATTGTAATTGAAATAAGTGGTGTAAATAGAGAAGCGGTAGTCGTAAGCTTCAATTGTCATTCCTCTGTTTACAGGTTAGAACAACGTATTGTAAATAGTTTTTGTATAATAATGTAAATAATAGTTGATAAAAGTGAATAAAACCCCACTTTGTTTACAGGGATACATATTTTGACTTAATTATTACCCAACACAAATAATTTTCCTATATATGCGCTAAATGAACCACTTTCTTAGCGTGGGAGGTGAAGTTGGTTTTGTGGTGGCTCCACGAGATGAACCGAGTTCCGGCCTCGGCTCCTTCGCCCCTGGCCACTGGGTGCCGGGGAGTGAGGTGCACTCCGTGGCCTCGTGCGGCGCGCGGGGGCGGCGCTCGGAGGCGCTCGCGGCTCCCATTACGCGCGATTGCGCATGTCAGGAGCGGCACCGTTCCCCCGCGGAATCTAGGCAGACGGCGCTAGTTGTTCCTCGAGCATCGGTCCTTGAGCTGCCCCTGCCTGTCTCGCGCGCTTGTTCTTCTCAATGAAGGCTCTTCTTGCGTACGGTTCATCGCCTTGACTCGTTCTGTCGTTTCTCCGACTCATCTTCGTATTCTTATTGTGGATCATGTCTTTTAAGTGTAATTGTACGGATGTACTTTCGAGTTACCTATCGTAGTGTCGTTTCATAAACTTCTTTTTTTTTACCCTTCAAGTACTTGTTGGTTACACGATTTTTTTCGTTGAAATTAATGAAATGATTCTAATTCTTTGTACTGTCTTCAGTAATCATTTCTCATCATTGGTTATATCAATTTTGTAAATAATTTCTTCATATCGTTTCATTTTGTGTCGTTTCATGTTTGTGGTCAGTTTCGACATCGTAAATTACTTTCCATATAGTAAACGTCTTTTCACCAACCATCATTGTGTTATTCTTGCTCGTACACGGTAGAGATTTTTTCGAGTACATCATCCGTCGTGTTACCTCTCCACTACCTCGTTGAGCAACGCCGCGCCGCTACTCTGCGCCCGGGCTGCACCTGACGATGGACCACGCTGATAGGTCCCACGCTGTCTGCGCCACAGGAAGAAGCTCGAACGAAGAGCTGCGGGGGCGGGTTGAAGGCAAATGAGTGTCTTCATCGTAGGATATGCTGCGCGTTCGGCTTCAGGTTGCCGTGAAGGAAGAATCAAAAAAACAATGTTATCGACTTGTATCTCGAGCTCTTATCCCGAGACCCACCTTCAACCGCTTTCTTGCTTGTTATTAAGATTCGTATTTTTCAAATGTGTTTCATAAGCGTCCTTTCTCTGACGATTATTACAATTTAATTGAAGCATGTGCCTTACTGAAATTGCCGACATTCTCTGTAGCAGTTTTTACATTAATTCAAGCAAGAATAGATGCAATCCACTACACTGGGTGATTTAGAAGATAAGCAGAAAACAATTCGATATTGGGCAACCTCCTAAACATAGGAAGTAAAAGTTGATCGCTTATCTCTTGACATAATCAACAGATTTATTTTTGATTCTGAAATGTAAATTAAAATTATGCACCCTACCCTTATTAAGCACTTTACGAAAGTTTAGAAGCAGTAAAACGCATTCAAGAATTATAACACGTCCAGTCCTGTTGCAGTGAGCTACAATTCACTTCCAAAATATTTTTGGTAATTGCTACCTCTCGGAACCTTTCAAAACGCAGTTAAGTCATTGTTTATAATATGAAAGAAATTACACGGTCGTGGAGGCGCAATTAATCGCCGATTGAGTTAATCGCAGGCGGTTTCTATCGACGATCTACCCCTTGAGGATGCCTCTCGTAGGCGCACGAGCGGCCTTCTGCGTTGGGCAACAGCGCAGGAGTTCGCTGAACCGCTGGCGGGGCGGGGGCGGGGGCGGCGGAGCCTTGTCAGTCGGCGGAGGTCTTCCTGTCTCGACACGAGTGAACCCGCGACCCCGTTGCCCTGGCGTAACCCGACCCCTCTCCCCCGCCTCCCAGCTCTGGACCACCGAAGCCTTCTCAGCGACCGCTGCGGCGCGGCGCCCGGCCGAGGGGCAGCGCGCGCACAAACACGCCCACCCCCGACGCGCCTCACGACAAGCGCGAGAACCTCGAAAGTGGCCCGTGAAATCGGGATTTCGTTTGGAGGAAGCCTCTCCGAACAGCCGAGACGAAGTGGGAATGGCACTGTTACATGTTAAAGATGTAGGGTTGCCCCATACTATTGGGAGTTGCCTTTGCCGCTTCGAGGGGCTGAATGAGATTCAGTGGGGATTGGCAAGTAACCGCAGAGAGGGGCCACACTTCAAAGACCTTCCATTTCAAAGGCCTTTGAATCAATATAGTTTAGAGGGAGGCTGAACTTTTGGATGAAACACCACGGGTATTTTTTTGTGAAGAGTATGTATGAATAATTTCATCTACTTTTCAAAAATGTTCTTCAGTCATGAAGTACTAATTATCATGACACTATTGAATCCTCCATGTATAGGAACTGAAATCACATTCTTTTTGTGAAATAAAAAAATAATTTGAAAATTTACTCCAATATTGTCTTCATTATTTATATCATTCTGCGTTTTATTGCGATAATAATATTGTGATAATAATAATAATAATAATAATAATAATAATAATAATAATAATGATGATGATGATGATGATGATGATGATGATAAAGCTTGTTAAGATAAATAGTAAAATTGAGGACTTCTTTATATTTTTCATTTTTCATTGACATATTTAGATTTTTCTCGTCCAATGAACCCTTAAACACATACGTGCGCGCAACACGGATTCATGATATGTATTGTAGTTTTCGAAACACAGCTGCGCCTCAATTTCCAGCTTCCGGTCAATATTACTTTTTGAAAAGTAGAATAACAATAGCTATCTATCTTGTAGCATGACAGATCACTTCCTTCTCTTTGCGAGCGCCAGTCTCACACATGGATCCTCGAGAATTACCTTCCATTTCTGTTCCAGAGACGGCCTGGTGACCCCGGGCCAGCGCGCCGCCTTCGGCTGAGTCACTTCCTCTGCATGTGAGTACCTTTTGTTAACCTTGATACCCAAGTGCCGTGCGGGGTAGGCGGGAAGAAGGAATGTGACTTGGATGCTGATGTATTAACGCGAATGGCTTTTAATACGGGAATAAAGGATATTATTCTCGTCAATATTTCCTAGCCGTTATATATACATGAATACTTATTCTTAGAAATCAAATATAAGTATTATCGGGTTTAAATAAAATTTAATTGTAATACAATTAGACGTATCGATTATTGGTGGTTCGATTTATAATATTGAAATTTTGTTTGTCTACGTAGAACCGTTGCTTGTTCGACTGTTGCCAAGTACTTTGGTATGACGTGGCCTATCCAAACTTGACGAATGAAAATAAGTACGAGTATTAAGTCATGACATTTCTCTTAGTAATGTATAGTAGTCCCGTAGGAGCGAACTTTAGATTAAAACCAGTACGTGTTTCTCTGATCTCTAATTCATGGGCAATACAAATGCAGCGTAACTGTTAGCGACGATTAATACCGATAGATGGAAAATTTCTTTAATATTAACATACATATTTCCGAAACTCTTTTGGGTCTCTTATTTGTTTCTTATTACACATCAATTAACTTACAATTAATCATTAAGTTCGAGTAATGATACTGGATAAATATTTTCTTAATGTTAAATATATTGGGCGAACTTAAATAGGTGAACAAATACCAAATTTCATAAATCGATTTTTCCCAACATCGATGTATTTCCGACAGTGTATTTACCCAGTTCACGTTCATGAAAACGGCATCGGCGAAGGCCGATGTCGTGTCCCTGGCGGCGAGGCGCGGCGCGGCGCGGCGCGAGGCGGAGCAGCGCTCGGATTCCTGCGAGGGCGCTTGCGGCGGGGCTTCCTCGTTGCCGAGGGAACCCTGGCGTTGCGAGATGCGCTGATTCTTGGGAAAGCGGTACTACCGCCGCCAGGGGCGCGCGGGTCAGACGCCAGGCGGAATGCTGTGGCGGTAGAGCGGGAAGTGAGATGGGTCTGTGTGAAATTGAGATGTGGTTCCGTATTACGGTAAAGTAAGATTCGTTCATTACTACTCGTTCAAATGACTTTTTAGAGGTTTTCGGTCAGACATTTGAAATAGGTAACTGGGCCAATGTGTCTACTCCCGCAAAGGAAGTGTTTCGTATTGCTGTAACTATTTATTACATACGATTTTATGTAAATATTTGTGCACGGATATGAAATCAGGTAATGTTTTGATATATTATTTAATGTCATGGGATAATTCAATGAGTGGTAGCTTTTACGTTTCGTTCTTCGGTTTTTATGTCATAAGGATGTCAATCAGAAATCAGTTTTAAATGACATCATGTGCACTGGATAGTTCACTGCAAGAAAATAAACGATTACAGTTTCGTTTCCACGGTAATATGTTCAGTTATTCTCAACAGCTAATAGTACGGTTAATTACGAACATTACTGTGAGTAATGTTTTTCACAATATCTATTTTCAGTGATTTATGTTCCTAATATTTTTAATGAATTTCATGGTCGCAATATGGAATGTAACGTGACCACTTTGGTGAATTAAAAATAATTCTTGTTTTCAGCACGAACTCATGAATCTTGCAACACAAATTCAGTCTTGAATGCAAGGGTAGCACATTATTAAGCAAGCGGTTATTAATCTTGATCGTCCACTTCCTGCGGTTGCCTCCTGCCGTTCAGTGCAGCCTTGCCTGCAAAAAGAAGGAAGCGGCGCAGGTTCCCGATTTACGAGTTCCTAATGGGCGATCGCCATCACCTCGGGTACAAGTTCCGCGTGCGCGCACCGATGTCGGGTTGCAGATGTTGACGTAAGGCTTCTGGGAAAGAACGTTCTGGACGGAATTACGTGCACTTAGCCAGACTTACGAGCATTTGTCTTCCAGGAAATTATTTTTTCAACGTTTGCGATCATGATGTACAAAAGGCAAACGATAATGAAAATCTAAAATTTTTGTGAAACTGTGTAAAATGTTCGTAATGCTCAGGAAGAGCAGTCCAAATATCTGTCGAGTCGCATTTTTCTCTTTTCATTTGAGGTTTTTCGGCTCCGTTAGTGAACGTGACCGAATTTGCAATCCGATTTTCTTTATTTCGTATCGACCAAATTAGAAAGCCTGCTATTTAATTTACCTGGAGTGTGTCAGAGTGACGTAAGGCGCAATTCATCTCCGCGTGTACATGCCCATTCGCCCGGTGGTGTTGCGCCGTGCGTCGCGCTTCCGCCGGCGCCTTTCGCGCGCCGCGATTCGCGTGTCGATTGCGTCGTTATCTCCGGTCCCGCGACCGCGCGCCGGGCGGCGCGACGTTGACCGAGCGTCAGGTGCTGGCCGATGGCGCTCGATAGCCGGCGGAGGTGTTATGTCGGCGGAGATACCGGGTGCCGCGCCGGCCGCCGGGGCTTTCGCCCGCCGCCGGCCGCCAGTTTTTGCGGCGGCACTGTGACGGGCCGCGTCGCGCGGACCGACTGCGTCTGGAGACCGGACGCCGCTGCCCTGGAACTCGCTCCGTGCGGAGAGACCGGCCCAGGCGGAGGCGGAGGCTGACGTTTGGCGGTAGGTGGGCTTTAAGGCTGTGCGGAGAGACTGCGGGTGTTCATAACGGATACGGAACTGGCGAGAAGTGATGGTGAAAACGTGAGGAACGATAGTGCGACACGTACCACTGAAGTGAAGTTTAGTGTGATTGTTCAAGGGGTTTATGGGATGCTGTGAAGGCAAAGCTTACTAAATAGCACGTATTGTACTTACGTTGCTAATACACATATAGATTAGGGACACACATGTGTATTGATGTATGGATTTTTGATAATGGAGCTTGGATAATGGCCGGTAATGGACTTTTAGTGTTTACAAATCAATTGGAAATAAATCCGCTGATTAGACTTAATTTTATCCTTTCTCATTCTTAGTGTAGTCTCAAAAATTGTTGAAAAATATGCGTGAAAATATTTTTTTCGATATATAGTATGATTTGACTTATATTCTTTTAGGTTTCATTGTGAATATAAACTGGAATAGTTTGTCTCTATAAGTTGTCTAATGGACATCTTATTTGATGAAACTGGTCGGTTGATTCGGTTGCGAATAGGAGGCTCATAACGGCTTACTATCTTGATAAACCGAACCCGTGCCAACCACATTACCGGTCACACTACTCACACTTACTTACCTGTTCAGCCGACTTATTAGGACTGCGTTCCTAATCCGAAACCGTTGCGTCATCCGCCTTAGCAACGGAGGCAGGAATCGGTGTCCGGCCGCGTCCTTCCTTCCACGCCGTCCACTCCCACCCGTCTGCAGATCATCACCCTCGGCGCGCAGTGGGCCTGAACAGGGACAAAAAATGCTAATCGTGATCGTACTATGTGTCGATTTTATTGTTGGAATGATTGGGCCCCGCGGGCGTCTCGTGTGATTTTAAGGCAAATAATTAATACAAAATAAGGCACAATTGAAGTGATTAAAAAATATACGTTTTATTTTTTTCAAAAACCGACCTAAATTAAATTGTAGTGTTTTTTTTTAAGTTGGTATTTAGGGTGGAGAAATGTCAGAGGAAGCTACGTTTTATTTTTACTCGCGGGGAACTTTTTATTCTCAATACATTATGCTATTTCATTCGTTTTAGTTGGCTTTCTTCAGGTTCATTAAGAATTGTTATTTTTCTTTTAAGAATTAATTGTCTTTTTATGTCGTGATTATCTGTATAGGAGGTGTCTGCAGTTAAAACGTGCATTATTTATCTTTTGTTATTAACATCTCCATCCCGTAGCGTATACATTTTATATCTTCATCAAAGGTAATATTACTGGTCCTTGGAAATTTATCTGGTACTCGCAAAGCAAGGTTGGTGTTTTGAGAGGGTTATTTCACGAATGAAAATAAATGTGTAGATATAAAAAGATTATCATATCAAGAACATTTTTGTGATTAATAATAATATCGTTCGATACACACCAAGACTCGCCCATCTATCAGAAACAAGTAAAAGTGTCGGAGATAAATCGAATATTATGAAACATCACTTATATTATTGCTTAGGAAAACATCTCTGATTGGTCGCAGAGGATGCAATTTTTGAACAAAATTGAATGATGGAACCCGGGTGAAGTAATTAAAATAAAATTGAAGTGTTTGGTAATATCATTATGTTTTATTTTACAATTATTGTGGCTTAGCTCTTTTCCGGGCGGTCGTTTGGTCCATCGGGCCCAATGTGCGAGATGTGGGGACCTTGGGCGAGGCCGATCGGGGCGGCGTTCGCGTCGGCGTCGGCGGTGGCGTCGGGGGCATATGCGCTTAATTAGCTGCGGCCGCCTACCGCCCTCCGAAGATGGCGGCGCGGGCCCGGGCCCGGGGCGGGCCGGCCGTGGCGAAGCGGGCGGGGCGGGGCGAGGCGCAGAGCCGCTCCCAACCTCGGTAAATTATGGCACCGTAATTGAGTCGGGGCAGCCGCGCGAGGCGCTTTGCGGTCGGGCGCCGCAACGCGGCCGCCAACGCCAAGTGCGTGCCCGAACTTGCGCTATAACAACGCGGAGGAGCCGGTCCATTGTGCCGCCTCGGCAGGTGCGTGCTGTGGGAGCGGAGGATGGAGGTGTTGATCGGACTCCAAGGACGTCGTTAAAGCGTCGTGGGGTACGGATGAAACTGAACGTATGTTCATCACCAGTCATGAATCTTCGCAATTTGATTAGTCATGACTTGTAGTGGTTCATCTTTTCCTCTTCGTTTTTCCTTGTTATTCCTCGTTGGAAATATTTCTGATTTTTTCAACCCCCTACATGTCTGTGGAAGTCACTTTCGGGCAAACAGTTTAGTTCCAGAGTAAATTACATTTTTTTAGTATTCGACCCACGAAGAAGAAACAGTCATCTTGGGCATATTGCAATTGCAGATTTTACACAAGCTACTCGCAATATCTGTAAAAAGAAATTGAACCCCCCACCCCAAAAACAGGCTTTGAATTAGAAACAATAAATCCCTCCAGTCG